GCCTCCCCACACTCAGGGTCTCCTTTGCAGCCAGGGTGGGGAGAAGAAATCACGGGCTTGGGTGTCTGAGAAGGGATCACTGAGGAAAATCACGAAGAGGCCAGGAAGGAAGGTGGTGTCTCAGCTACTCAGCCCAGAGCCGGAGAAGCGGCTTCCTCCTCCTTTACAGAGACCTTTGACCAAGCTCAGAAAATTCCTGGCTGATGGGGGCAGGGAGTGGGGCTTCTTGAATGGAAGAAACTGTTTTCCTCTTCTAGACAGGCTTTGGGTAATTCCACTCCTTTTCTCTGCCAAGCTTATCTTTGCCTAAGAATTCACACCAGTCCCCAGGGGCCCCCTGCTCACACAGCTGCTCCCGCTTCTCTTTTCATTGATGGGTAAGAAATGGGACGGATTTAAAATGTTTATGGTTTAATAAGCGTTTGTCTGAATACCAGTGACAGTCTAGAGAAATGACTTACAGGAGCTGGGGGGTCTGAACAAGGGTTGGGCCTCTCACTCATGACTTACCTCTGTCCCCAGTGGAGGCCTCGGGAGAAGAAATGACCAGGGGCCCGGGATAAGCAAAGGCCTGAAGGTTTAAGAGGGTAAGGGAAAGGGACCCGCCTTGTGAACTTCCCACCTCCCATGTGGCCCAGGGCCAACGCTATTTTCAATTTCAAAAAAAATTGAAAGGTAGGTGATTTTCAATTTCAAAAAAGGGGTGGCAGGCAAGAAATGCCTTTGTTGAGAAAAAGGACAACTAGGAAAGGAAATTAAATTTATCACATTTCTTGAGCCCCTACCTTGATCTTCCCTAGCGCCCTAGGCACAGGTGACCGGGAGGCAAGATTTTTCTTCTGCTGACAGCTGAGTGGAGAGACTCGGATTCCCACAGGGCATGGCACCACGATAAACCACTGCAGACAGGGACAGAGACTGAGGGAGCCCACTGGGCACCAGCTTCGCCTGCCATGGTGCGGGGAAGGCTTCTAGAAGAGCTGACGTTTGGCCAGGGTCTTGAGGGGTGAGTAGGAGTCTGCAAGGGAGATCGGGCTTCCAGAGTGCGTTCTCCGCAGCGGGGAAAGCTGGCTAGGAGGGTAGGGTGCAGCAGTGCATGCGTGGAGAAACTCAGCCGTGCCTGAAATCCAGGCTGACCTTGGAGATACTGCAGGTGTGGCCCCAAACTGCCACAATAAAGTGAATATTGCAATAAAGTGAGTCGAATTTTTGGTTCCCCGCTGCATATAAAACTTATGTTTACACTATACTGTAGTCTATTAAGTGTGCGATAGCATGACTAAAAAACCAATTATTATTTTTTTTTTGCGGGGGTAAACTGTATGCCCAGGATGGGGCTCAAACTCACAACCTCTAAGATCAAAAGTCACATGTTGGGGACGCCTGGGTGGCTTAGTTAGTTAAGCGGCTGCCTTCGGCTCAGGTCATGATCCTGGCATCCTGGGATCGAGTCCCACATCAGGCTCCTTGCTCTGCAGGGAGCCTGCTTCTCCCTCTGCCTCTGTCTGCCTGTGCTTGCTCTCTTGCTCTCTTTCTCTCTCTCTGACAAATAAATAAATAAAATCTTAAAAAAAAAAAAAGTCACATGTTGTACCCACTGAGCCAGCCAGGTGCCCCTAAAAAACCAGTTTCTCGAATTAAAAAAAGTACCTTATTGCTGAAAAATGCTAACCCTTATCCGAGCTTTCAGGACATCATAATCACTGATCACCATGAAAATTTTTGAAATATTGCAAGAATTACCAATATACGACACAGAGACACGAAGCGAACAAACACTGTTGGAAGAATGGATGCCCACAGACTTGCTCCAGGCGGGGTCGCCACAAACCTTCAGTCTGCAAAAAAAAAATGCGATTTATCTGCAAAGCTGAATAAAGCAAACGGCAAAACAAGTCCCAAAACAAACAACCCCAGGAAGGTAGAATAGAGTGAGGTCTGCCTGCACGAAATCCGAGGTTGGAGGAGGAGCAGACGGCAGGACGCGGAGGTGTGTTGTGAGGAAGACGGGGCATGGAGGGGCGACGATCCAGAGGTGGGGGGCTTAGCACAGAGGAAACGGGCCCGGGTGGGCGACTGCTGCCCGGCCAAGAGCGGAAACAGAGTGGAGGGCAAGCCAAGCCCTGGCACCGACCCAAGGGGATGCGGCACCGGTCCCTGTGGGGGACCCTCCTCTGGGACTGGGGATGCGGTCTGCGGGGCCGGGCGGGGGGAGATGGGGCGGGGAGGCGGCCAGCCGGCGGCAGGGAAAGTCCAGCCTCCGCAGGCGTTCCTCGCCGTCGGGCCAACCTCCCATTCCCGGGGCGGCACCGACGGAGCGGCACTGCGGGCTCTGCGCGCTCGGAGACAGGTACGAGAGCGGAGGGATAGGGACCCGGCGGCAGGGGCGGCTCGGCCCGGGGCTGCTGCAGCAGAGCCGCGTCGGAGGAAGGGGCGGGGGTGGACCCCCGAGGAGACCCCGCCTCTGGCTGTCGGCCAGGTCACCGCACCGCACCGCGCGCGCTCGGGCGGGGCTGGGAGGTCACCGGCCGGCAGGAGAGGCGGGGAGCCCCGGGGGCTCGTGTTGGGCAGTCGGGCGCGACCCGGGGCCCCGCGCCCACGCCGCCCGCCCCCTCGGCCGTTGCCTCGGCGGGACGCCGTTCCCGCGCCGCCCAGGCACCCGGCTCGCAGGCCGAGCGCGCCCCTCCCCGAGGTGCCGCCAGGGCCAGCACGTGCCCGGTCGCCCCTGCGCCTCGCGTGGGAAGCGCACCTTCCGCCTTCCGGGGCTGCACCGGCCGCGTTCCCGGGCCGGGGACGGGGGACGGGGGACGGGGGCGGGGCGGCGGGTGGACCGGACCCCGAGCGAGGAGTGCGGGTCGCGGGCGCCTCCTCGCGACCGAAGCCCGGAAGATTCCTGAGTAGGGGGCGGCCGGGGAAGGGCGTCGCGCTGGCCTCGGGCGTCCGGGTGTCCGCGGGGGGCGGTGGGGGGCTGCGCAGGGACCCCGGGCGCGGGTCCTGGGCTGACCTCCCGGCGAGGAGGCGCAGACCCGCCCGGCCGCGGAGCTCTGGTCAGGCCGCGCCGTGTTCCTCGGGGACACAATGTGGGAGGAGCCCACCCTGCCGGCCCACCCTGCCGGCGGGGGAAGCGGGGGGCGCAGCGGGCCGGGCCCTCAGGGAGCCGTGGGAGCCCCCGGGAGTAGTCCGATGTCCGAGCCGCAGGGCTGGCCCTCGTGTCACACGGGGTCTTTTTTCTGTTTTTCTCCCAAGTGAATTGAAATAACCTTCTGGCTTTCGCGACCTTGGGATTGCAGCTGTGGGTCTCGATCTGGTGCAGTTGCAGCCGTGGTGGTAGAGCTGGGCAGCAATCACAAGCCTTCTCTTCTGTCTTAAGTCTCTCCCTTGGCTCTGCTCACCTCCCTCCCTAAAGTCTCCTCTAGAGAAGCATCCCTTGTCGTTCATCTTGTCCTAGAACAAGACTCGCAGAGCCATGCGGGCCTCCGTCCCGCACGCTGCTCTTACAGGAGCTGCGGGCGCAGGCGGCACTCCTGTCAACCACCCCCTCTTCGCCACCCCCGCCCCAGTCCCAGGAACCTCTGATTTGTTTGTGAAAGTAATGGCTAAATGAATCACTGTGCTGAATTAACGAAGCATGTACGTCGCTAAATGTGCCAGATTAAATTTTGCTGAACTTGGCTTAGTAATGCTGCTTTGTCCTTGTAAAATGAAGTCATTTTATACTTGAATAATGAATAACATTGGTAGAATTTTATACTTGAATAATGAATAACATTGGTAGAATTACAGATTTTAAATTTTTACATGCAAGTCAGTACTTGTTTAATGTTTTGTACTGAAGGAACATATTACTTATGTCATTCTCCAGTAGTGACATGTACGCGCATGTAGATACATACTGTGCAGACAGAACCCAGCACACTGCACACACACACACACACACACTCCTTGCACACTCACTCCACACTGCACACATACATTGTGCACACCCACATGCTACACACACTTCCTTTCACCCATGTCCTCCAGAGTCACCCACAGCCTGCACACTCAGAAACCACAACGCATGCACACACACACACACACACACACACACACACACACAGGTTATAGAACCGGCTTGTGGAGCTTTTCTTGTGCAGAGAAATGCTGGCTTGGGCTTAAGGTAGGATACAGTTGACGTCTTTAAAGCTTTTGAGTTTTAACAGCATCTTGGGAGAGTTTCTTTTAAAAATATATATATTAACGGGCGCATGGGTTAAGCAGCTGTCTTCTGCTCAGGTCATGATCCTGGAGTCCTGGGATGGAGCCCCAAGCAGGACTCCCTGCTTAGCGGGTCATCTGCTCCCTCTCCCTGCCATGCCCCCTGCTTGTGCTCAAATAAATAAAATTTTTAAAAATATATTTTATTTATTTATTTGACAGCGAGAGATAGAGACAGACAGAAAGAGCAGAGGGAGTCAAGGAGAGGGAAAGCAGGCTTCCCGCTGAGCAGGGAGCCCAATGCGGAGCTCCATCCCAGGATCCTGCGATCATGACTTGAGCCGAAGGCAGACGCTTAACGACTGAGCCAGGGCTACTAACGCAGGCGCCCCTAAATAAAATCTTCTAAAAAATAACAAATTTAAAAAAAAACTTTTAAAAACCCCACAAATTGTGCTTAAAAACAACAGGTATAATGGCTTTTTAAAAAAGGGAATCTCTTGCTAAATTAAAACCCTTGAGACTGATTGCTTTGATTCTGAACCTGGCCTTCAACAAGTGTTTTTAATGGCCCTCTTTCTTTCCCTTTTGAAATCCTGAAAGAAGGTACTCGTGAACATTTAGAAGCCGGTAGTAGACGGGCCTCTTCTCCCGCACCTGAGTGCCATGGCCTCTCGTCCTCTGCGGCTCTGCAGTCTCCTGTGGACAACGGGGAGGAAGGGACGCGCCCCTGCCCGCGAACCCGCGGACCGGGCCCCGCCCCGCCCCGCCCCCTCCAATCCCGCCCTCTCCCGCAGGCAGAGATGCGGCTGCTCCTGCTCGTGCCCCTGCTGCTGGCCCCGGCGCCCAGGTCCTGGGTGAGTGCGGCCCTGCTCACAGCTCTGCCTGGGCCCCCAGCTGGAGTGCAAGGCGGGGGGAGGAGGGGGATATGGGTGGTGGGGCGCAGGCCCTCAGCTGGGAAGACGCCCTGGGGTTTAGGACGCCACAGCTTGGAGCCCCCTCTCCCAGTCGCGACCTCCTGTGGGAAGCTGGGGTAAAGGCAAGTCCTGGGACCCCCAGCTCTTTCAAAAAGGGGTGCAACCTGAAGCTTCTGACCAAGAGGCCCAGAGCAGCCCTCCCGGCTGCAGGGCGCAGCACTGGCAACTTCCCCCCACCGTCCTCCTTCAGAAGGTGCTGGGTGCACCCTAATGCCGGGACTCCCCACTCCCCGTGTTGTCTTCCAAGACGGAAGGAAGGGGAGGGGGCAGTGCTGGCTCCAGCCAAGGTGCAGGGCGACCTGCCGGTTACTCTGCAGATGAAAGGAGTCAAGGGGTGCAAAAATGCCCTGAATCCTCTTAGGGGCTTTCTGCCTTAGAAACACCTGAGTGACCCCCTCCCACCTCTTCCCGCCCACAGCATGTGAGCTGGGGGCTGCGGGGGATGCTGAGCTCTCCTCCGCAGCTCTGCAGCTTCCTGTCGCTGGCTCTGGCTGGGGTGGGGGCAGAGCCCCCCCCCCCAGGGTCCCTTCTGGGTGCCGACAGTGGTGAGGGAGGCATAAAGTGCAGATGCAAACCCAGGCTGGTCAGGGTTGGTTTCCTCTGCCTCTATTCCCACCCCCTCACCCCCCCCTCTCACACCCCTGCGCAGGGCAGCCCTGGGAACAGCACAGTAAGAAAGAGGGTCCCTGAGTTGCCTTGCAGTGCGGTGCGTCGGGGCGGGGGGAGGAGGAGGGGCTTGTTTGGGGAGCCGCAGGGGCAGGTAAAGACCTTGACCCGCCAGCGGGAGCGTGGCCTGGACGAGCTCATTCCGTCCCCACACCGGCAGCTCATGGTTGGGGTAATTATGGGGAAACAAAACATGCCTGATGCGAAATGTGCTTTCTTTCCTCAGCCCGTGTGGAGGGAATCTGGCTGGCTGGCTCGCTCCCTCCCTCCTGCCCGCTGGTACTCCTCCCCGCAAACAAGTGGCTAGCTGCCTCAGGGGTGCTGGGTGCAGGAGGCCAGGGCGGTTTGTAAGGCTCTCGGCTCCTTGTGCTGAGAGGGGCGCCTGGTGTTTGCTCTGGGAGAGAGAGTCCAGGCTCCCAAGCGGAGATAGGGGGATGTTTTTAGGTAGGGACCCTCTGAGTACCAACTCACACCTCTGAGGGTGTCTTGTCCTCCAGGCTCCCAAGGTGAGACGGCAGAGTGACACCTGGGGACCCTGGGGTCCCTGGAGCTCCTGCAGCCGGACCTGCGGAGTGGGCATCAGCGTCAGGGAGCGCCCCTGCTTCTCCCAGAGGTAGGGGGGACTGGGCGGGGCCAGCCTGGACGGGGGACAGGCTGCTCAGGGGTCAGCTGAGTCCTGCCACGGCACTGGCAGAACCCATGGAGCCGTGGGTTTGCTGTGGGAGCAGCGTGCCTGGAGTATTGAAATCGAATACACTCTGATTCTGACAGGCAGCCTTGTTTTAGGGGAGCTAGAGCTGAGCCTGCTGCCCCCAGCCTCGAGTCCCTAGTTCCCAGTGCTACATCTGGCATGTGGCAGGTGCAGTAAATTCTTGGCAAACCAACGAACGATCTTCAATTCCTAACGCGCAGTTTCTCTACCTTCGGTCTCCGTTGAGTATAGACGTCTCCCACTTCAAGGGAGACTTAAGCCCCTGCTATGTGCCCTGTGCTCTGACACGTGCTAGTGAAGGCTGGGGCACAAGCAACGTGGGGGTGACCTTTGTCACTGGGTTGAACTCGGTCTTCCTGAGCACCTCGTGGGAGGAGGACGAGCCTCGAGCTCTTACTCCAGGCATCATGTGCTCCCTAAACTGCAGAATGACCTTGGAGTGGGGTGGGTATATATTACATCTTACTTTCTCTCCAAAGGCCAAAGTTGGGTCTTCTCTGGAAATTTGCTTTAAGAGGCAAGGTAGCCCCAAGTTAGAGGACCTCCGGGATACGCTTCTGAGTCTAGCTTTAGTCTACTATAGACACAGGGCTCATCGCGCCTGCCTGAGGGGATCTGTGTGTGCAGGTCCCCCTCCTCCGCCCCGAGTGGCCTGCAGGGGAGCCCGAGGAGGAGGAAGGGGTGTTGGTTCACGGGGTTCAAGTCTTCCTGGTGTTCTCGTCTTCAGGAGAGATGGGGGCTCCAGCTGCGTGGGCCCTGCCCAGAGCCACCGCTCTTGCCACACCGAGGTAAAGCCTGCAGGACTGGGGACCCCAGCTTCCGGAACCCCCTCCCTTCCTCCCCTCCCAGTTCCCTGGGCATCCTCCCGCAGGTGCACAATCTGGGCTGCGGGAAGCCCCTTGCTCCCCTCCCACCCAAAATGACAGCCTCCTCTCCAGCAGCCCAAAGCCCCTGCAGGGGAGTACTCAGGAGGCCTGGGGGCCCACACCCCCAGTCCTGAGCTGCTGGGGTAAAGGGAATGGTTGGTGGGGACCAGTCATACCACCCCAGGTGCAGTGGGGTAGGCCCCACACGTCCCTCCCCTGCAGAGCTGCCCGGCGGGTGCCAGGGACTTCCGGGCGGAGCAGTGCTCCCAGTTCGACAGCCAGGACTTCCAGGGAAGGTGGTACAAGTGGCTGCCGTACTACGGAGGTGAGTGGAGGTCCCAGCGCCCGCACCCCTGCTGCCGTGCCCAGCTGCTCCAGATCTCTTCTGCACGCTGACTTTCCACGGCGCCGTGCTTACCACCATATTACAGACGCTCTGTCAAATGCATTTTAAAAAACTCACAGGACCCCCCAGCCGGTGCTCATCGCAACACAACGGGGTCGGGGGCCGGTGTCATTTTGAATCTCTCCATCCTTCTATACATTTTCAAACAAGGCCACTAGGCCGTGTCTGTGCCACTTGGAGCCCTGCTCTCTCTGGCCTGCTCCGGAGGCGTTCCTTGTTCCTCGTGCTACAGAGGCCATGGGGAATTAGGGTGCCGGTCAGGGCAGGCCAGGTGGGGGCCAACTGAAGGTCAGGGCTGCAGGGGGCTTGGTACGACAAGAGCCCATTTACTCAGGATCCGTGGGGCCCACGGGCTTGCTCTGAGTGGCTTTGAGGAGGGTGGTTAATTTTTAGAGCAATGTAGTTTAAGGAAAAAACCCATGTATGTGACTAAAGCACTTCAGATGTGTCAGAAGATTCCTTGGGCTCCTCCTTCTGAGTAATAATGGTCACTGCTCATTGCCAGTGACTCCTGAGGAGTGTGGCATCTGGCTGCATGACCATTTATATTCTGTGTGTGCTGCTGCACGGGGAACGGGGTCTTGGCTGGAGGGGTGGCCCCAGGGGAGTCTGTGGCATTCACTGCTCCTCCTGGATAATTTGAATGTATCCATATTTTTTTAAAAAAATTTATGTATTTGACAGAGATCACAAGTAGGCAGAGAGGCAGGCAGAGAGAGAGAAAGTGGGGGAAGCAGGCTCCCCGCTGAGCAGAGAGACCGATGCGGGGCTCGATCCCAGGACCCTGGGATCATGACCTGAGCTGAAGGCAGAGGCTTAACTCACTGAGCCACCCAGGCACTGCCATCCACATTTTATAAAAGATTTATTTATTTGAGAGGGAGCGATCATGCAAGAAGAGGGAAGGAGGGAGGGAGAGAGAGAATTCCAAGCAGACGCTATGCCCCGCGTGGAGCCCTGCTCGGGGCTCAATCCCACAACCTGAGATCACAATCTGAGCTGAAATTGAGTCAGATGCTCAACCGGCTACACCCCCCATGTGCCCTAAATACCCTATGTAGAAGAACCAGAACACAGAGGAAAGGGTCACAGAGGGATGCCTTCTCTGTGGTGCAGGTGACTGCGGTCCTAGTAGGACTTTTGGCTGTTTAAACAATGTGTGTATAATATTTAGATGGCTATAAAAATGAAAACTCCTAAGTGACCTTGACCCCCACGCCTCTCCTAGGATTTGGCCTAGCATTCCATCTAGCCCTTTTCACATTTTTGTCTCTATAAACACATACATATTTGTAATTATTACATAGCCCCATTCTGCATTGTGTGGGAGAAGCGTCTCCCCACGTAACCGTATGGTCCAGTATGTTACAGCACAGCCCACATGCCTGCTGGTCTATTCGGAACTGACTTTGAGGAGCGGATTGTTAACACATGGGCTGATTATAAGGCTGCCACAGACCTTTCCAAGGGGCTAGCTTTTTCCCTATCCTGGGATTTTTCTTCCACCTAATCCCCAGGGAGGCTGCGGTTTTGTGAACGTTTCCAGCGGGGGTGGGGTGGAGTGGGATTCTCTCCCACTGGGAGAGCCCATGCAAGGGCTTTCTCTCCGCACCCCCCCATCCCACGTGTGTGCTTCTGGCCCCGCCCACCCTTCACTGTGCCCAGGAGAGGACTTGCTGCTTGCTTGGGAATCTCAGTTTCCCCCTCTGTCTGCCTCAGCCCCGAACAAGTGCGAGCTGAACTGCATTCCCAAGGGGGAGAACTTCTACTTCAAGCACAGGGAGGCTGTCGTGGATGGGACACCCTGTGAGCCTGGCACACGGGACGTCTGTGTGGATGGCAGCTGCAGGGTGCGTGGTGCTCCTGTCCCCCCTCCCCTGCGGGCTGGCCTGGGGCGTATTGTGGGATGTCTCCCTGCCCTGCACCAGAGGCTCTCAGGAGCTTAATGTCTTCTCATGGGCAGCTTTTGAGGTGTCTTTGCATCACAGATGCCCTGTGACCTTCTCCCCTTTGCCTTTTGCGACCAGGCACCCCAACAGGAGCACCCCTCTGGGTGGCAAGTTATAGAAACCCCATGAAAACTGACAAAGGGGAAGAAAGCCCTCCAGGGCTGGGCTGGCTGGCTGCAGGGGCTGGAAATGTCTCCTTGCCTCTGGGCTTTTCTCTCCTCTGGGTCTGCGCTGGGATCCTGGGAGGTATGCAGAGGGCCAGCAGCAGCTCCCAGCTCTAGCTGGAAAGGGCACCCACTTCTCAGGGGTCCCAGCGACCCAGAGTTGCCCCGGATTTGTCTGGGCTGGGGGATTCCTGCGAACGACTTACTTGGAGCATGGCATGGAACCCATTGACTTGCCCCACATTCACTGTTGGGGAGTCTGTCCAACCGGGGAGGGGGAGGGCCCCAAACGAAAATGTATTGTTGCCAGAGAAGGGGAGACGGGTGCTGAGCTGGGGGAAAGGGTAAACTGTCAGCCACAGGCCAGATCACTTGGCCTTAGTGGGCAATGAATAGCTGCCCCCCACCCCCCGATCTGAGCAGCGATTTGGGTTCAAATCTTCATGTGTCCGTGACCTCTGGGGTCTTTCTTCTCCTCTTCATCTCTGCCTGGTAGGTCGTGGGCTGTGACTACAACCTCGACTCCTCAAAGGAGGAGGACAAGTGTCTGCAGTGTGGGGGTGACGGCAGGACCTGCTACCCTGTCACAGGCACCTTTGATGCCAATGACCTCAGCAGAGGTGGGGGTTGTCGGGGGCGGGGGCCCACAGGCAGTTGAGGCGAGGGTCTGTTGCCTGTCCCTTCCTTGCCTGACTTCCGCTCCAGCTGAGTCACCCTGGTGGCCCTGCAGGCGTCTGATCTGGCCCTCAGGTCATGCCTTAGGGTGGAGGTCCAAGCCTTTCCCTGGAGCCTGTGGGCTTGGGCTAGTAAGGACCTCTGCCTCCTCACCCAGTGTAGGCTCACACTGCCAACGCTAGGTACCCCTCCTCACCCCTTCTCCCTGGCCCTCAGCTGTCCCCTCCCCCCACCTTCCCAGTCAGGCCTGCCACTGTCCCTGACCCTGGCTGTGCTGCCAGGGGCGTGGATGGTCCCAGAGTGTCTCTGCCCCCGCAGGCTACAACCAGATCCTCATCATTCCCGCGGGGGCCACCAGCATCCGCGTGGAGGAGGTGGCGGCCAGCAGGAATTTCCTGGGTGAGTGCGGGCTGGGGTGAGTCTGGGCGGTGGCCGTCGGGTGGGTCCCTCCGCGGCAGCTGACCTGGGGCTCACACGTGTGCAGCGGTGAAGAGCCTGCGGGGAGAATACTTCCTCAACGGGCACTGGACCATCGGGGACGCCTGGGCCCTGCCCGCGGCCAGCACCGTCCTGCACTACGAGCGCGGGGCCGAGGGGGACCTGGCTCCTGAGCGGCTCCACGCTCGCGGCCCCACCTCCGAGCCCCTGGTCATTGAGGTGAGAAGCTGGGGGGCGGGGGCACTCGGGAGGCCAGGCTGAGGGGGGCGGGTCCCAGGGCGGCCCCCCCCCCCCCCCCCCCCCCCCCCCCCCCCCCCCGCCTCAGCAAGGACCCTCCCGCACAGCTCCTCAGCCAGGATCCCAACCCCGGTGTGCGCTACGAGTACCACCTGCCCCTGGGCAGCTCCCGGTCGGGCTTCCGCTGGAGCCACGGCTCATGGAGTGACTGCACTGCCGAGTGCGGGGGAGGTGAGCCATCTGCATATCCTGGGAGCCACGTGGGGTCACCCAGGGCTCAGGGAATCCACAAAGGGTCCCCCTCCACGCACCCTCCAAGCTCAGAGAACCAGAGAAGGCTTCCTGGAGGTGGTGGCATCTCAGAGAACACTGTATTCCTTGGGCAGCAGAGGCTCAGCCCTGAGTGGATGACCAGGGGTTAGAGCAGGGCACCAGCACCTGCACATAACACCTCTCAAGCCTCAGTTTCCTCCTCTGTAAATTGGGGATAATGATGGCATTTATCCCAGGAGGTCATCTGAGGCTTGATCAAGGTGACACTTGGAATGCATGCGGAACGGTGCCCAGCCCAGAGATTGCCTTTGGTGACTGTTGACTGATCACCTGCCCTTGATGGCCGGGCCTCTGCAGGTCACCAGTCCCGCTCGGTGTTCTGCACCACTGACAATGAGGTCTACCCTGACCACATGTGCCAGCATCAGCTGCAGCCAGCCGACCGCCGCCCCTGCAGCACTCACCCCTGCCCGCAGACCAAGCGGTGAGGCCCTTGCCAGCGCCCCCACAGTGGGGCCCGAGCACTTGGGTGGGAAGGCACTGGGGTCTCTAGGCTACTCTAGGTGTTGAGCAAACAGGTGGGTGTCCAGGGCTCCCTACAGCTGGGGCAGAGTGGGGGAGGGTGGGGAGGAGGCAGCTGTTACTGTGGGAAGCAGCGGGGGGGGGGGGGGCGCATGAGCGTGAGGTCCAGGGCTATTGTGTCCACCCCTGTGTGCCCACACAGGGCCCAGAGCGTCCAGGCTGGTGGTGGGCAAGTGGGGGGAAGGTACTGGAAGCCCTGTCCGAGCCAGCAGGGGACTTGGCTCAACAGATGCCAGGAAGTGGGCCAGGGGGCCTGTGGGCATCAGCAATGCCTTTGTTCATGCACGAAGGACCTCTTACCTGCGCCGGCCCAGAGCGTGGCACCTTGCCGGGGCCCAGCGTGCACGCAGGAACAGGTAATCTGCAGGCCGCAGGTTCCCTGCTGGGCTGGCGTAGTCCTTCCGCCCTCACGGCCTCGGTGGCAGCTGGCCTTGCAGGATGGTGGCGGGCTCGGCTTCGCACGGTGCCGCTGGGGCTGCCCTTTCCCCCCTTGCCTCAGGGCCGCTCTGGGAGATGCTCCCAACAAGGGCAGACACAGAGGCAATGGAGTCTGGCTGGGGATGACAGGGGCCCTGGTGAGGAGGACAGGAAAGCTAAGAGGGGGGCAGCCAGGCTCTGTGTTGTAGGGACCAGTGCTTGGTGGCGAGAGATGGCAGGCAGAGCGGGCGCTTGGCCTTTTATGCAGAACTTTCTACCCCTGCACCTGTGCAGGCCCAGATGTTAGCATGAGCCAGGCTTGGGGGATCCCCAGCGCACTCCTGTGTGTGACAGCTGGGGCTCCCTTGGGCCTGGACTCTAGCCCCTGCTGCTGGGCCAGCCTTACCAGATTCCTCTCCCCACCAGCTGGAAGACGGGGCCCTGGTCGCCCTGCTCGGCCTCCTGTGGCGGCGGCTCCCAGTCCCGCTCTGTCTACTGCGTCTCATCTGATGGGGCAGGCAGCCAGGAGGCCACCGGGGAGGCAGCGTGTGCAGGCCAGCCTGGGAAGCCCCCTGCCACCCGGGCTTGCAACCTGCGGCGCTGCGTAGCCTGGAGAGCGGAGCCCTGGGGAGAGGTGAGCCTCTGCCCGGCGGGGTGGGGACCGAATCAGGCACCGGGTCTATGGGCTGGGGCCGCAGCAGAGCTGGGCAGGGAGGCTTGGCCTCCGCTAGGGAGGTAAAGTGGCCTGCTAGGTGGCCTTGGAAGCTGTTGCCAGGGCTGGGACTAGGAGCAGGTGTTTGGACTCTCCCTCCTTCTCCAGGATTCCAGGCAGGGTGGGATAGACTTTGTCTTGCCACGAAGAAGCAGCTGGGCACCTTGCTGGGGGTGGGGGGGCGAGGGAGGAGCTGGCACCGACTGGGGCTGCTGGTCTCTGCTTCCAGCACCTACATATGTTCAAGTCTCGAACAGGGGAATGTGGAAAATGTCCCTAAGCTTGGTGACAGCAGGCGTGGTGTAGGCTATATGACCTCAGAAGAGGGGTTCAGCTTCTCTGAGCCTAGGAGCTGGACGTGGGCCGGGGGTGGGTGTGGGGGGGTCCGGCTGTCTGACCTGGCATGGCCCCTCTGGGCGGGGGAGGACAAGCAAGCTCCCGCCGACAGCCTGGTCCTTGCAGTGCTCTGTCAGCTGCGGTGCCGGGGTCCGGAGGCGAAGCGTCACCTGCCGCAGCGATGAGGGGTCTCTGCTCGACGCCGCAGCATGCCCCGTGGAGGACCGCCCCCGCATCACGGAGCCCTGTGTGCGTGAAGACTGTCCCCCCATCCATGACCAGGCCTGGCGTGTAGGCGCCTGGGGTCTGGTGAGTGCTTGCCTCTTCCCCCGCCTCCTCCCTGCCACCAGTCCTGGTCCCTTGGGTCTCTGACAGGCGGCTGGACACGTGACCTTCCCTGGGTCTGGCCTGCCTCCCAGGCATCTTCCCCCTCCCTCTCTTCCTTGTGGGGACCCCCAACCCCGGGGTCTTGCTCCTTTTCTGAGCCTGTCTTTTCTTCCCCCGCCCACTCCATGGGCCCCAGTGTTCCAAGAGCTGCAGCACAGGGACCCGGAGACGCCAGGTCATCTGTGCCCTCGGGCCTCCCAGCCGCTGTGGGAACCTGCAGCTGTCCAAGCCCAGGGAGGCCGAGCCCTGTAACACACAGCCCTGCCATCTGCGTCCAGGTAAGAGCAGGGGCGCCGGCCAGTCTCCCCATGCCACGGCCATCGTGCCTGGCTGGTCTGGCCTCCTAGCTAGCGGCTCCTGGAGGGCCAGGTCCTTGACTTCCTCCTTGCTATTGACACCCCCCTGGCCCCCCCGAGCTTAGCATGAGTGGGGTATTCAGTAAACGTTCACCGAATGACTGAGTGAGTACGCCCCGCTCCTGTCCTTGTCCTCCCCTTCTCCTCACCCCCATCCCTGCTGGCAAGAAGATGCCCCAGGCCTGAGGAGCTGCAGGGGGAAGGGCCCAGAGGCCGGTACTTGCTTGGTGTGAGGTTGTGATATTGAGGAAAAACATGGGATGCGGCTCAGCTCAGGGGGCGAGTGGGGATGGCGGCCTCCTGCTACCACAGGGAGGTGTGTCTGGCCTGGATGTGCTCCTGCTGGGGGACCCGTGAGCCAAGCTGGTGAAGCTCCAAGGGAAGCACAGGGCACGGTGGCTAAGAACCAGGGGCTTGGACTTGACAGCAAACCTAAGTTTAAATCTCTGCTCCATTGCTGACCAGCGGTGTGGCCCCGCGGCAAGCGCCTCTCCTCCCTGATTGTCGGTTTGCCCATCTGTACAATGGGGTTAATAGTGCTTTTCAGGCCAGACTGAATTGTAAAATAAACTTAATGGTTATTTTTAATAAAATAATCTAGGTTTATCGTGGAAAATTTGGAGAAATTAAGAAAGCAGCATAGAGACAAGTGAAATGGCCCTGATCCCTGCTTTAGTGGGAACATTAGTTAGCGTGCTGCTGGGTCATGTGAGCGGGCTTCCGTATGCGCTTTTCCCCCTTAAAGCCACTTGGTGTGTGAACATTCTCTAGCCCCGTGATTCCTCTACGGAAGTCCATGATGGGCGGGAAGGTAGAATTTAGGTGGTTTCTAGGGTTCCTGGGTGGCTCAGTTGGTGAGGCATCTGACTCTTGATCTCAGCTCGGGTCTTGATTTCAGGGTCCTGAGTTCAAGCCCAGAGTTGGGCTCTGTGCTCCGTGTGGAGCCTACTTTTAAAAAGAAAGAAAAAAAAGAAAAGAATTACACTGAAGGGGCTGCCTGGCTGGCTCAGTCAGAAGAGCGTGTGACTCTTGATCTTGGGGTGGTGAGTTGGAGCCCCATGTCAGGTGTAGAGATTGCTTGAAAATGTTTCTAAAATTTAAATAATGTTTTATTTAACCTTAAATATTTTTAACATGTAATCAGTATAAAAATTATTGAATAGGCTATTTTATATTATTTTTTCACATGATTAAAAAATCTTCTGAATTGAATATATTTATTGTCCAGAGCATTTCTTAATTCAGATGCAGAATTTCAGTGGCATACTTGATCTATTTTTAGATTTTATAGGATGCGCAGTTGGAAAAGTAGATTCATACACCCAAGTTGTTCCCAACATACTGAAGCATCTTCTAGTAAATGAATTGTCAGTTTTTAAGTTTAAAATTAAATTAATTCTAATGAGAATAAATGTAAAACGTGGTTTCTCAGTCACTCTGGTCACATTTCAAGTACTCAGTTGCTCTGACTGAGGCCAGCAGGGACCCCCGAACCCGCCCTCAGCCAGGATGTGGGGGTGGTGGCCAGAGTTCTGTCCAGGGGCTGGTGCTCTTAGGGCTGGGGACCTCCGGCTGGGCTGCAGATCAAATTGTCTGATAGGGGGCACCTGGGTGGCTCAGTGGGTTAAAGCCTCTGCCTTCGGCTCAGGTCATGATCCCAGGGTCCTGGGATCGGGCTCTCTGCTACGCTGGGAGCCTGCTTCCCTTCCTCTCTCTCTCTGTGTGCCTCTTTGCCTACTTGTGGTCTCTGTCTATCAAATAAATAAATAAAATCTTTAAAAAAAACAAAAAAACACAAATTGTCTGATAGGCCCAGGGGAGCCCCTGAAAGCTTTGGAGTTCAACAGTGACAGGGTGAAAAGATCTTGAGGAGGACAGACAGGCACCTGCCTGAGGGCCAGACTGAAGGGGAGGCAGTTGGAGCGGGAGCCTGCTGGGGAGCAGGGCTGCAGAAATCCAAGGGCCCCCAAAAGCCATGAAAACGAAGGGTCAGGCACTCGCCCAGCAGACCCTGGTGCCTAGAGAGTGCGTGGGAAGTGGAGCAGGACTGGAAGCCCGAGAAGGTGGAAGGGAAGAGTCCCAGGAGGGTAAGCTAGGAGCATATTCCCAGGCTGCTGGGGACTGGGACTGCAGTGCTGGAGGTGGGCCGTGTGGCAGGAGATGGCGGAACAGGGGAGGGAATGGGCCTCCGCCTTGTCCCAAGGTTTGGCCTGGGCTGGAGAGGCAGTGAAATGAAAACAGATTTTACCGTTTATCTACTAGACTTTTCTAACCCTAAATTATTTTTTAAATATTCCCTGGGGACTGGCAAGATGTAGTCCAGAGGGGGATGGAATTTTTTAATTTATTTGAGAGAGCGCATGAGAAAGCATCAGTGGGGGGTAGGCAGAGGGGGAAGCAGGCTCCCCGCTGAGCAGGGAGCCTGATACAGGACTGGAGATCATGACCTGAGCCGAAAGCAGACACTTAACCCACTGAGCCACCCAGGCACCCCTTCACTTCTTTTACATAACTTTCCTCCGTTATGTAGTAGTGTGCTCATTGTGGAAAATTTGAAATGCGTTAACAAATAGAAGGGACGCCCCTGCCACCCCGCTGCCTTCCCCATCCCCCCCGGGTGCTTGGAACAATGAGCATTTTGGGGCATGGCCTGTTATACATCATTATAAAAATTCCTGTCATCCGTATTTAGTTTTTTGCATTTTTTTCTCCATTTTATGATGAAAAATCTTATTAGTAACTTTGAAGTGGTTAAATATCATAGACCATAAAATTCACCTATTCTTTTTTTTTTTTTAAAGATTTTATTTATTTATTTGACAGAGAGAGATCACAAGTAGGCAGAGAGGCAGGCAGAGAGAGAGGAGGAAGCAGGCTCCCTGCTGAGCAGAGAGCCCGAGGTGGGGCTCGATCCCAGGACCCTGGGATCACGACCTGAGCCGAAGGCAGAGGCTTAACCCACTGAGCCACCCAGGCGCCCCAAAATTCACCTATTCTACTGGTAACTCATGATTTTTAGTAAGCTTACCAAGTTGGACAATAAGATGGTGAAAAAAAAATTTTTTTCCACATTTCTGAGCAGCCCCTAATCTGATTCCCCAAACTGGGAAAACAGGCCTGTTCGTTTGTGTTAACTGCACTGGAATTAAACAGAGTGTCGCATCAATTGCAGATTACAATATAGTGACTCAGCGATTCTGTACTCATCATGACAAGTGGATCTTAATCCCCTTCACCCATTCTCCACCCACTGCCCCTCTGGTAACCACCAGTGTGTTCTCTATAGTGGAGAGTCTGTGAGAGTCTGGTTTTTGTTTGTTTTTTCTTTGTTGGGTTTGTTTCTTTTCTTTCTTTTTTTTTAAGATTTTATTTATTTATTTGACAGAGATCACAAGTAGGCAGAGAGGCAGGCAGAGAGAGAGGGGGAAGCAGGCTCCCTGCTGAGCAGAGAGCCCAACGCGGGGTTCGATCCCAGGACCCTGAGACCATGACCCGAGCCCCGGGTTTGTTTCTTATATTCCACATATGAGTGAACTCATTCAGTGTTTGTCTTTGACTCAATTCGCTTGGCATGAAACCCTCTAGATCTGTGTTGCACATGGTAAGATTTCATTTTTCATGGCTGAGTAATATTCCTCCGGTGTGTGTGTGTGTGTGTGTGTGTGTGTGTGTGTGTGTGTGTTTACACACACACTTTGTCTTTATCCATTCATCTATAGACAGACACTTAGGCTGCTTCCATATCTTGTCTATTGTACATAAAGCTGCTAGGGACATAGAGATGCACATATTTTCTTGAATTAGTGTTTTCGTATTCTTCGGGTAAATAGGTAAATAGTAGTGGAATCATGGTGTTACGTGGTAATTCTACTTTTAATATTTTGAGGCAGGATGGTGAAAAATCTTGAACATACAGAACAGTTGAAGAACTGCGTAGTAAGCAACCACATATCCACACCTAAATTCTACAATGACTGTTTCGTTATATGTGCTTTTTTTTAAAGTTAGTAGTTTTTAAAAGTTTTTATTTATTTATTTATTTATTTGACAGAGAGAGACACAAAGATCACAAGTAGGCAGAGGGGCAGGCTGAGAGAGAGGGGGAAGCAGGCTCCCTGCTGAGCAAAGAGCCCGATGCGGGGCTCCATCCCAGGACCCTGAGATCATGACCAGAGCTGAAGGCAGAGGCTTTAACCCACTGAGCCACCCAGGCCCCCCTTTATTTTTTAAAAGATTTTTAAGTAATCTCTACACCCAGCATGGGGCTCAAACTTATGACCCCAAGATAAAGAGTCACATGCTTTCCTGACCAAGCCAGCCAGGCAGTCCACTTTGCCCATTTCCTTAATTGGATGGCTTGTCCTTTCATCAGTTCTATCTATACATATCCTTTTTTGTTTTATGTAGTTGGGATCAAACATAGATACGAATTTTATATCTGGCTTTTCTTTTTGCTGAATTTTCTTTTAGCTTTTTTAAGTAACTAAAGACTCTTGAAACTTGGGAAGGGTGTTTTATGGACTCATAGTTTGTTCTCACTTCCGCTGTCCTGGGAGCCCTGCCTGAGCAGTGGGGTGGGGGCACATGGAGGATGAGGTGGCCACTGCTCAGGCCTGATTGCCTGCTCCCTGCAGAAGTCCCCAGCGTGGAGGACGTGCTCGCTGGCCCCAGGGATCCCCGGATGTCTTTGGGCCCTCAGGTGGCCGCCAACCCAGGTGAGCCGCTCAGTGGACGCCCCCAGCCCAGAGCCCGGGAGCTGGAGGTTGAAGGTAGGGCAGGTGGTTTGGGGGGGGCTGGAAAAGGCAGGTCAGGTGTGGACAGATGCAGGTGAGCAGCCAGGTGGCGACCTCACGCGTCTTTTCCTTCTTCCTTCTAGATTCCAGAGACCAGTGGTGGCTCCCCCAGGAGCAAACCTTAGTGCAGGGTAATCCCAGCGGAGCCCAGGGCCTCCACCTGCCAGGCATAGCCCCCTCTCTGCCACAGTCCCTGCACCCGCAGCCACCACGGTCTGGCTTGGCACCCCAAGACTGCAGACACAGCCCCTATGGGTGCTGTCCTGATGGCCACACCGCGTCTCTTGGGCCGCAGTGGCAGGGCTGCCCAGGAGCCTCGTGTCAGCAGAGCAGGTAGCGACCTCTTCCCAGTCGGCTAGGGAGGTTTGCAGAGCTCCGGTTTGCAGAGCTCCGAACGGGACTCTGCAGGTGTCTCCCCGCTACCCTGCTTGTGCCTCTTGGCGACTCAGCTTCCTGTGGCTGATCTTCCTGATGTGCAGAGTGGGGGTAAAAATCTCTGCTCTCACTACAGAAGTCGGCCTGAGCTCTGGGAAGGCGCTTGGGATAGAATTCTAGCGTTCAGATCCAAACCAGTCTACCAGTCTCTCGGCGCGTGGGGTGCTGAGCGCCCAGACTTTGGGGCCAGCAGCCTGGGGGCAGGGTGGGATCCCTGGCTCAGCCACCTACCAGCCGTGTTCTGGTGATGGGGGCAAGTTCCTTAACTTCTCTGATCTTGGCTTCCTCTGCTGAGAGGTGGGGGCAATGACAGCCACTGGCTAGGGTCCTGAGCCCGGAAGGTGCCCGATGCGTGCCTCCTTCCCCTTCCGTTCCCACTCCCGGCCAGCGGTGCTGAAGCAAGTGGTGGGCTCCTCTGCTGTGATCTTGTAAAACCTCCCTGGGGACTTGCTCTGTGGGCAGGCTTAGCGAGTTTCCGCCTCTGTTTTGGGGGGCAAGGCTGGAGTCGAGGACCCGTCAGGTATCAGGGCGACGGCTCTGCCTACTCGGTTCCTGCTGCCTCCCAGGTGGTTGGCGGACATGGCAGAGCCTCGGCAGGCAGAATGGTCTGCCCTGTGTGTGGGGACACGCTGTCTCCCGCTCGGGTCCTTGACTACTCAGCCCCCAGCACGGGGAGCCTCAGAGCCTGGGTCCTGGGATGCTGGTCGCTCAGGGCCCTGGAAGGGTTGGGGACTGGGGTGGGTGGTGAGGAGACAAGTGTGTGATGCCCGTCTAGGTACGGGTGCTGCCCTGATGGGGTGTCTGCGGCTGAGGGGCCCCAGCACGCAGGCTGCGCGGGGTCTTACAGCAGTGACAACACCGGGAGAAGGCCGGGGTCAAGAGCGGTGGCTTCTTCGGTAAGTGTCTGGTTCACACGAGGGGGCTGGGATCCAGCACCCAAGCCTGCTCAGGGCCACTGTGATCCAGGCTCTCTGTAACTTGGGCTTTGGAGAAAGGAGGTCCCTGAAGGCTGCTGGCCAACAGGGCCTCCGAGATGGGCCTGGGCTGAAGTGTGTGTGTGTGTGTGTGTGTGTGTGTGTGTGTGTGCACTCACGTGCCTTTATCTGACCTTCCCCTGGCCTCTCATCTCCCCTGAGGCTCTGCATCAAGGCTCATAATTCTGTCCCTCTCTCTTCCTGTCCTCCTTCCCCAGGCAGCCTAGAGTCCCTAGCAAGAGCCAGACCTATCCCCAACATCCCAACTCTAGGCTTCCTCCCCAGGCCCCCAAGACCCACCAGCCCCGGGCTCAGCAGAATGAGCCCAGTGAGTGCCGGGGCTCCCAGTTTGGCTGCTGCTATGACAACGTGGCCTCTGCTGCTGGTCCTCTTGGGGAAGGCTGCGTGGGCCAGCCCAGCTACGGTGAGTGGGTGTCCCTCCATCCTTCCTGGTGATAGGCTCTGGTCCCCCTCGGCCCCCACACCTCTGCAGAGCCCCACCTGGAGCTTCCTACTAGCTCAGGGATTCATTCATTTCTTCAGATATTTGCTGATCACTTACTAGGTGCTGGGTCAGAGAACAGTGCCACGTTGTTCTTGTTTCCCACAGTTTGCCCTTGAGACCACCTGCGAGCTTGTGAGAGTCGGGGAGAGCTGTAGGCAGGGCCCCCACAGAGAAGGAGGCTCGTCCTCTCCCAGCCCCCGCCCCGTGGGGCTCCGCCCCCTCTAGAGGCAGAGGTGGAATGGTGGTCAGTGCCAGGATGGACAGGGGTGTCGCCACCCGGCCTGGGATGAGCCCTGGAGGGAGGTCACTGAGGCTGGACCACGAACCGTGTGGGCGGCACTGCCAGGGACTGTCACGGGGACTTCAAAAGCCAGATGGGCTGGTGGTCAGGGTCTGCAGGAGGCTGGGCCCCCGGGTGGGCTTCAAGCAGGAGCCAGCCATGGTCACGCAGGGAAGTGGAGTGGGCTCTGCTGGGGAGGTGGGCGGGTGAAGCGGGCAGGTGCGGGCAGCTGCGGTGGGTTCGAGGCCAGTGAGGGGTCCAGGAGCAAAGGTGGGCCCGCACTGGGCGTCTTCACAGATGTTCCCGGGAGCTGAGGGCTGGGTTCTCCTCGTGAGCTCAGCACGTCAAGGCCAAGCCCTTGGGCTGCTCGGTGCATGCGCTCTGGTGCCCCGGGTCAGGCATGGGGAGGTGAGGGGCATGAGGGGGCCAGTCCAGGTTGCTCATGGCCCTGACCTTCTGGAGGGCTCTAGTTCTGTGGGTGGAGCCCAGTAGGTCTGGGCGGTGAGCAGACTCTGCCCCCAGGGCCAGGTGAGGAGCCCGGGCAGGGGTGTAGACATGTTCGGTGAGCTGGGAAGGGCCTGGCTCCGAAGTCCGAGGCAGAGGGGATGGGGGGCCCTTGTGGGCGGGGCTCTGCTGGGCCACATCCGCGGCTTGGTGACACTCACCCTTCTGGCCCCTCAGCCTACCCTGTGCGGTGCCTGCTGCCCAGCGCCCACGGCTCCTGTGTGGACTGGGCGGCCCGCTGGTACTTCGTCCCCTCTGTGGGCCGGTGTAACCGGTTCTGGTACGGCGGGTGCCACGGCAACGGCAATAACTTCGCCTCCGAGGAGGAGTGCATGAGCCGCTGCCGGGGGCCTCCCGCCGGGGCCCGCGGAGATGGTGGGGGCAGCGGTCCCGGGGGCCAGCAAGAAGCCAGATGGCAGAGGACGGGGGCCACGGTCCAGACGAAGCCCTTGCCTTCCGGTGGCGTCTCGTGGCGAGACCGAGAGCCTGGGCCGAGGGAGGAGTCCCACACGCAGGCCTTTGGAGAGCGGCCCTGGCGCGGGGAGCTGGGGGCCAGCGCCCCTGGCCTGGGCGGAGATGCCGGGCAACCAGCGCCGCCTTCCCGCAGCTCTTCCTACAGGTGAGCCCCCCCCCCCCCGCCAGGGGCTGCACCTGTCGGAGCTGACACCCTGAGGTCAGCAGCCCCCCCTCCCCCCACCTCAAGTCCTCCAGACAGCCCTGCGGGGAGGGCCTCGTTCCTGTCGTCGCACACATGGGGAAGCTGCCTTTGGAGACAGGAGACTTGCCAGCAGATGGTGGTGCCATCTCGGTCAGACCTCGCTCCTACCCCAGGCCTGTGTAGTCGGAAAAGCTTGCAGGCTTCGTGACCTCCGGCGGGTCCTCCAACTTCTCTAAGCCCCCGTTTCCTGACGTGTGAAATGGCGATGTTCTCTCAGGTTTACTGTGGGGTCCAGTCTTGGGACGGTGTCATGAGAGCTTTGGGGAGAGTAAAAACCAAATAAGTAAAACTTTACATTCCAAAGGGGTCAAGCATGTCGTTTAGTTCCCCACACGGACCTGGCGTGAGGGATCTCTCCGGGCCCCTCCATGCCCTGGGCGTTGCGCCCACCCTGCAGCTGTCACAGGACCAGGCTGAGGTAGCAGCGTCCAAGGGCATGAGGGGTGGATGGAGACGAGCATTCCCGAGGCCACTGGCTTCTGGAGCTTGGCCTCCCGGGAGATCCCCTGACTCCGACAGTGCTGGAGCCAGGATGGATGCCAAGCCTCTGGGGTGGGAACTGATGGGGGGAGTCCCCAGTCGTGCACTGAAGCCAGCAGCACAGGTCCTCCCCTCCGCCCTCCCCAGGGTCAGCTTGGCCGGCCAGGAGCCATCCCTGGTACAGGCGGCCCCGGGGCAGTTGGCGCAGCTCGTCTGCCGAAGTGATGACACCTCCCTGGAGCCCCATGGCCAGTGGCAGAAAGACGGGCAGCCCGTCTCCTCCGACAGGTGCGTGTGCGGCAGCCCCCGATGCCCCCGGGGTGGGAGGCGCAAGTAGCGCTCCAGTCCCCTCCTCCTCAGGCGGGCTGGGCTCGTTGTCGTCGGAAGCCAGAGCTCAGACCCCCACCTCCTCACTCAGGCACAAGCTGCAGCCGGATGGCTCCCTGGTCATCAGTCCCCTGCGGGCAGAGGACGCTGGCATCTACAGCTGTGGTGGCAGCAGGCCGGGTGGTGACGCTCAGAAGATCCAGCTTCGTGTCATAGGTCTGTCCTGCGCCCCACCCGCAGGGGGTTTCCACGGGCCCCAGGCGGGAGGCCGTGGCTGGGAGGGCCTGAGCCAGGGTGCGCCCGCTCTGGAGTGGCCCTTCCTGCCGGCAGGGACCCTGTGCTCCAGTTGGGCCCAGGTGGAGGTCTCGCCCTTCGGGGCACTCATTTTTCCACATGTCCCCGGCCAGCTTCATGCCCCTTCCCCTTCCTTCCACCACATTCTCCGCATAGCTCACCTCTTCTGGCCTCCTGACAGGGGGTGATGTGGCTGTGCTGTCTGAGGCTGAGCCAAGGCACTTCCCTCGGACCAGGGACCCAGCTCAGCACCACAGTCCTTGGGACTCCAGCCTAGTGGGGGACAGAGGGGGCCCAGGGGCCATCTCCTCCTTGCAACCTCGGCCCACGACCAGGTAACTCCAGCAGTGCTGTCCTGCTCTGGGCCTACCCCACTTGGAGGCCCAGGGGTGATAGGGGTCTTCGTGGTGAAAGGAGGGGGTGGGGTGGGGCACAGGGGTCTGCTCGGTGAGGATGAGAGAAATGAGGGGGAGCCCTCCGCCCCTCCCCAAACAGGTGAGGGGGATCTAAGGCCCAGGACCCAGGGGCTGAGGGAGGGGAAGTTCACCAGGAACTAGAGGGTCTGCGAGGCCTTGAAGGAAGTTTGTAGAAGGGATGCAGAGGGCTGGAGGGCCCAAGTCAAGGACTGAGTAGCAGAGGTGCAGGGCAGGGAGGTGACAGTCAAGATTCTGGGGCAGGGGTGGGGGCAGGTGGTGGGGAAGGCAGGAAAGTCCCAGGAGGTTGTGGTGGCGTCCTGACCCGAATGAAGCAGCTGTCAGGAAGCTGAATCTGGAAGGAGAGAAGGGGGCCTCGGGCTTGTGCAAAGGGTCCCCCTCATGGCTGTGGGGGGGTGTGTTCTGCAGGCTGCTTCTGGACAGGAACCAGCCCGGGGTGGTGGACGCCCAACCAGGCCAGCGGGCCCGGCTGACCTGCCGTGCTGAGGGCTTCCCGCCCCCCGCCATTGAGTGGCAGAGAGATGGGCAGCCCCCCTCTTCCCCCAGGTTTGTGTTCAGCTCCTCTCTTAGTCCTCCTGTCCCACCGCCAGCCCCTGACCCCGTGCAGACTGTGGGGGAGGGAGTTGCCAGGCGCCACCTCTGTCAGTCCTGAGCAGGACCCAGTGGCTCATGAGAGATGCTGCGGGGTGCAGTGCTCCTGGGGCCAACTGACATTTGGGTTTCTGGGTCTTTCCAGTGGTGAGTGGGCAGGAGTAATGGGCCGGCTAAGGAGGGGTGATGGCTGAGGGACAAAACGGAGACAGACTCATTTCTGGCTGTAATCACAACAGCTGACATGTACCCGTTATGAGCACGAGGCTTGTTCTCCGTGGTCCCCTCTGCCCAAGAGCCACCCTGAGGTAGGTGCGCTCTTATCCCTGTTTTACACACGGGTGCTTACCACCACAAAGCTCCTAAGGGGCAGAACCAAGATTTGGGCCTACTGAATGAGTACAGCGAGAACCACAAAACCACGCCGGAATTATTTCGTATCCGGAAGCTTGAAAGGATTTTTCTATTGCCAGGCTTCAAAGTCGGGCACCTCCAAGTACATGAGAGTGCCAGCAGCTGGAGGACCTCAGGGCCTAAGGTCAGATGGCCCTTTGCTCAGACCCCACGGAATAGTAGGGTCCACTCGGCCCTTCCCCAGGGAAAGGAAGACCCTGCCAGCCCCCTCGGGATGGAGCCACCTGACTATGCTTTGTCCCTAGACACCAGCTGCAGCCCGATGGCTCTCTGGTCATCAGCCACGTGACTGTGGAAGACGGTGGCTTCTATGCCTGTGTTGCTTTCAACGGGCAGGACCGAGACCAGAGATGGGTCCAGCTCAGAGTTCTGGGTAAGGTGGCAGTCCTGAGCGGAAGGGTGAGTGGGGCTAGTGACCTCTGAGGTCAGGTGGCGCAGGTGGGACAGGATTAGCGAGTGGCTGACCATGCTTCCCCCTTGGGCCTAGGGGAGCTGACCATCGCAGAGCTGCCCTCCACTATGATGGTGCCAGAGGGGGACACGGCCAGGCTGCTGTGTGTGGTGACAGGAGAAAGTGTGAACATCAGATGGTCCAGGTAAGGCTCTAGTCCACACTGGCCTGGCCCTCAGACCCATACTCCTGAGGCTGTCCAGCCCGGGAGGTGGCCCAGCTTTTGCAGGGATAGTGCGGTTCCCACCCTTCATTCTTCAACTCCTGCCTCCGGTGGGGGGCCGCAGCACCCTCTTCCTGACAGCGAGGCCCCGTAGGACCGGTCTCTCTTGGTCGGGCTACACCGGGATTTCTCAACCTCGGCACTATTGATATTTCAGGCTGGATAATTTTTTCTTTAAGATTTTACTTGAGAGTGAGTGAGCGGGTATCTAAGTCTTGTGGGGTGGAGAAGGAGAGGGAGAAGCAGACTCCCCGCTGAGCAGGAAGCTGGGTGTGGGGCTCAGTCCCAGGAGCCCGGGATCATGACCTGAGCCAAAGGCGGCCGCTTAACCCGCTGAGGCACCCCGGTGTCCCGACTGGATAATTCCTGATTGTCAGGGCCGTGTTGTGGATTGTGAGGTGTTTGGCGGCATCCAGGCCATCTACCCACTTGATGCCAGCAGGACTCCCTCCCGTCATGACAAAGGACGATGTCTAGAGACTGCTCCTGATGTCCTCTGGGTGGCGCACTCTGCCCCTGGGGTTGAGAACCCTGGGCTAGACTCAGCTTTGGAGACTTCAGGGTGTTTTACTCCACGTTAGTTTCTCTTTTATTCATTCCCTCAGCAAACGTTTTTTTGCCCCCTTCCTCCTTGCCATGTGTCAGGAATTGCCCAGGCTCTGGGGCTCTTGGTGTGCTCTGAGCCCCCCAGACACCCCCAGGTAGGAGAGGGCCCAGTGTCCGCTGAGCTCTAGAGATCAGCCCTCGGTGCTATCAGTGCCTGGAGGACGGGGCTGCCTCCTCTCTGGAGCCATCAAAGAAGGGGGGCCACACACGTGACTTTGTCTGGGCCCTGAAGGCTGAGGAGGGGAAGGCTGTTCCTGAACAAGCCTCAGAGGTGGGTGTTGGAGATGATGTCAGGCTGGGAAGGGGCCTGTGCAGCCGGGAGCCTCTGTAGGCTTCGAGAATCTGTGCTCCATGCAGGCCCGCCCTGACCGGGTCTGGCCTCCGCTGCTTCTAGCAGGCCTGTATCTTCTTCTTTGCTTCTCTTTGGTCTTCCTAGCAGCAAACATGTCCAGGATTCCCCTCTTCAAAGCAAAATGAAAGATACCCTGCTCTGACCCCCATGTACCCGCAGACTCTGGCCTCTTCTGGAGTCTCCCCGTCACAGCACGGCTTTTCGGACTGGTGGTCTCCACCTGCTCACCTCCCGACTCACCGCAGCTCACCTCACCCCCGCTTCAGGGACACTGCCCTGTGTCTGACGAATCTCAGCCCCCACGTGACCTGCTCTTCCGCCGACCGCTTGCACTTCCCGACATGCTCCCTCTCCTCAGCTCCGGGAAACTCCTGTCCTCTGGCCTTCGTCCTCTTTCTTTGGTCACTGCTTCCATTTTCCTGGCTGGCTCATCTCACACCAATCCCTCAGAGGCTGGTGCACCTCAGGGGCTGTCCGTGGTTCTCGATCTAACTTCACCCTGGGTAACATTTTTGGCACATGGCTTCCTGGGTCATGCAGTGCTGATACACTGTCTGGGTCTAGACCCCAAATCCATCACCTCCTGGTATCTCACGGGCACCCGAAATGCAAAATAGTGGAAAAGAGCCTTCACCATTCAGCCCTCTTCCCCACTCCGGATCTCCCCGTGGTGGAGAGGCGCCATTATTACCCAGCAACCCAAGCCCCGAACCTCTGTCATCCTTCATCTCTTTGCCCCCCACCTCACAAATCAGACCCTCCCCCATGTATGCACATCTGCCGTGGCCGCTTCCCGGCTCTCTGCTTTCAGGTTTGTCCTTGACCCAGGAAGCCAGCCTTTCCAAGGACAGATACTTGGTCCGTCCTGCTTAGCTCACACACAACCCCCCATTCCCCGCAGGGTCCAGGCCACAGTCCTGTTGAGGCTGTGCCCACTTCCCTCCCTGCTCTGACCATGGCCACCCCTTGAGCTTGTGAGTCCCCTTGTCCTCCCTTTCACCAGCCGGCTGCTCCTCCTCCTCCTCAGGTCAGGGCTCAGCTAGGTCATCCTCAGGGAAAACCCCCTAAACACCTGTACCCTAGCCCTGTGCCCTCAAGACAGGGAGTGCTTATGTCCCTCACTGAGCACAGTGCCTGGCCTCATAGCTGCTTAAAAGAACTTTTAAAAAAAAAATTATTTGAGAGGCAGAGAGGCAGGCAGGGAGAGAGGAGGAAGCAGGCTCCCTGCTCAGCAGGGAGCCCGATGCGGGGCTCGATCCCAGGACTCTGAGACCATGATCTGAGCCAAAGGCAGAGGCTTAAGCTAACTGGGCCACCCACATGCCCCTTAAAAGACCTTTGTTGATGAAAAGTGAGAGCAGGGTTCCTTTGTGGATCAAGAGGCAGATTCACAATAACTTAGATCAGCGTGCTCAGTTAGAGTGAGTTCACCTCACTTTTGAGTGACTTTGCTTTGAGAATGTTCTTTTTGCACCCTGACCCATCTGTTTCTTGAGGTGAGGGTCATCTGTCCACAACGATTACCTCCTCCCTTCGTCTCCTCCTGGGCCCTGGCCGGCTCTCCCAGCGTCCTCTCCCCCCCAGGAATGGACTGCCGGTGCGGGCCGACGGGCATCGCGTCTACCAGTCCCCAGATGGCACCTTGCTGATCCACAACCTGCAGGCCAGAGACGAGGGCTCGTACACGTGCAGCGCCTACCGTGGAAGCCAGGCAGTGAGCCGCAGCACCGACGTGAGGGTGGTCCCGCCGGGTAAGGGGCTTACCCCAGGGCCTTGCTTGTTCCTGAGCTGGGTTTGTGCTGCACGGGGCGGGGAGGGCAGGCTCTGCGGTCTGGGGGACCCTAGCAAGAGTCCTGGCTCACTCTGCCAGTTCCTGGGAGCGTCACCTGTGGCAAGGGGCTCAACCTTCCTGAGCCTCCCTCCTCCCCGGTGCAGCAGGCAACCTCACCGCCTGGGAGAGCTGTGGCGAGGGTGAGGGAGATGGTGCGGAGGGAGGCATCTGGTAACAACAGGTGATGTCAAATATCACTCAGACTTACTGATTCCGAGAAAATAGGATTGACTGGAATTTCATTATAGTACTTAAGGCGGAGAGGCTGTTAAATGCGTCCATTCTAATCAGTGCGGCAAAAAATAGTCCTAAGATTGAAAAGTGCCTTTATGGCTCTTTGACCATGTAACCCAGAAAGGGCAGGGATTAGTGTCCCCATCTTACAAATGAGGCAGATATCCAGAGACCGTATGTGGCGTTTCTGTAAGCCATACAGCAAACGAGGGGCTAAGCTGGGACTAGATCCTAGTCCTCATATTTACTATTCTTTTCCTTAAATGATTATACCAGTAACTGGCAGAATTTTACTTGCATTATTCAGCAGTTTGTTCTCCAGCTCTTGCTCAGAGTTGAATATTAGTGCACCTAAGGCCCATGTTGTAAAGCGGTGTCATATCACTAAGAAAAAAATGCTGCTCCCTCCGTTCAGTGACACAGTGCTGAGACACCATCCATGCAGATGCAGTCCAATTTGAGAGGTGTTAAAATGGGAAAATCAGCACATCTCAAAATTGGTAGACTATGGTTTAATGTTGGATTCACAAGGGCTGTAAGGTTAAGTCAGAGGGCCAGGGGAAGGGGTAGGCCTGCCCTCCGCCTAGCCTGCCCTTTCATGGGTCCTTGGTCTGGACCCACGGACTGACCAGCAGGGCAGAGCCCCAGGCTGAGCCGCCAGCTCTCGTGAGGCCTGAAGCGGACTTTTCAGAAGGGCCTCTCCAGTGCTGTCTGCCCGGATGCTCACAGCGGTCAGGGCCCCGGCACCGCCCCGGGAGAGCTGCTCCCGCCCTGGGGTTCTGAGGCTGCTATGCTGCAGGTGGGGAGTGGCCAGCGCTAGAGGCTGAAAGTCCGCGGTAGAAACGTTGCTTAGTGAATCAGACTGACATGCAGGCTTCCAGTTCCTGAGCTGCTTAGGACAGCCCCTGGGACAGCGCTAGGTGCTCAGGCTTGGTGACAGAGTGCAGGGGCGCAGGAAGGCCTGACCATCACTAAAGTGCTAGACCGCCGGGGCCGGTTTTCTCTCCTCCCTGCCCAGCACATTGATCTCTTGTCTACAAACCAACCGGACTTAATGAGACCCGAGACAAGCTGGAACGCAGGCTAGTGTGAGAAAGAGCAGTCAGAGGACCCAAGTGTTCGTGTTTGTGACTCACTGCAGACACGTCTACATGGGAAATTATAATCAGAAACCCATCTGACAGCAGTCTGGTGGGGCGTCTGCTGATGTGTGGTCGCGCGCTGCAGTGTCCGGCTCGGGCTGCCTCCTGGACAGGACACCGTTCTGCTGGGGGAGTGCTGCTCCTCTCCTATTTTGCGGGCACCTTACTTGACTAGAAGCTGTCTCGCCCCTCTCTCTGTATTCATTTTGTTGATTATGCTTTCTGTAGGGTCTCACTGCTTGAGGCCGCCTCCCTGTGCCCGATCCGTGGTCTGGTGGCATACTGGAATTAGCGTGAGTGTCCAGGTAGCAGGCCTTGAGTTAGTCACGCTCTGGTGTAAGGGACACGCTTCTGTTGAGGATTTCTCAACCTTCTTGCCTAGAAGACCGGGGTGAGAAACAGAAAACACTGAAGGGAAAAAACAGAGGCTCGCTCCTTTTCTGAAGGAGAGGGAGTGGGGCTGGCACAGCACAGTTCAGCACTCAAATTCTAGCCACAGTCACTGTGTGCCCAAGGAGCTGTTCCCGTCTCCACTCAGGCAGAGAGCTGGAGTCACTGGCCCAAAGTCACCCCGTTGGGAAGCAGGAAAGCCAGGACCGAGCTCAGGCGGTCTGGCTCCAGAGCTGCTGTGTTTCCTCACCGTGCTGGGCACCGACCCTCGGGCCCTTGACAGGCCCCAGGGCTGCAACTGCTGAGAGCAAGTCGATACCAAAGTTACGGATTTTTTTTAATGTATAAATGGCTTGATATTTATATAAATGTGGGTACGACTGACTCCTGAGAAACGTCCGTGCAGTCAAATCCACGTAGAACTTCGACCCCCCAGAACTTTACTAACAGCCTGTTGACTAAAGCCCTACTGGTAAGTTAGCACGGACTGTATCTGTATTACATACTGTGTCCCCAGCGAAGTAAGCTAGACAAATGTTAAAAAAATCCTAAGGAAAATACATTTACAGTATTGTATAGTATTTAGTGAAAAAAAAAATGTGGACCCGCACAATTCAAACCCATTGTTTAAAGGCGGGCTTAGTACGGTCATTCTACTGATATCCCAGATCTGTAGAGAATCAGGTACTGAGACCACCCAGGTATGATCTTCTTGTGTTCTGGGAGAAAGCAGGGGGAGAGGAGATGGAGATCAGCCCCATGAGGTCTGACTTTAGGGAAGGTGCTATTCAGGCCTAACGCAGCTGAGTCAGAAGAGCCCCTTCCAGAAAGAAAAGGAAATTAACCAGATGAGGCCACTTCAGTCCCAAGATGAAGCAGTGGGATAAAACTCAGAATTTTTTTTTTTTTTCCACTTTTTTTTTCGCTGACCCTGAGATTGAGAGTCCCTTGCTCTACAGCCCTAACTCGCCAGGCGCCTCTCTCACAAGGGTTTTTAAGGCACCGAAGCTCCTAGCACATTCAGAGGGGGCAGCAGTGTTAGAACCATGGCTCCTAAGGCTGTTCTCTTCATCACCTTGCCTAAGAGCTCACTGGCTCTCTCTGGGCGAAGTGGGAGAACTGGGAAGATGGGGAACGAAGTGAGGAGATAAACTGGGGCTGCAGAAGCCACAAACCCTTTGAGGTTAGGGGGAATCAGCAACGAGAGGAGACAGCTCTAGCCCAACTCGATTTTACTTAGGGCGGATGCCCCACCTTTCCTTGCCAATCCAAGGGCGAAGGCAATCGTCATCCAGCTCTGCAGGTCACAAGCTCGAGGGCAGGGAGTTAACTTCGAGGGATGAGTCATCATGTGGAGTCAAGGTTTGAGAGTCTGTCCTGGGCTGAGGCTGCAGGACCCCGGCCTGTCCCGTGAGGCCCACAGCCGGGGGCTACACAGAGGTGTTAAGAGTACAGAGCGACTGTGCTTTTTGGAAACCTGGCGTTCCTACTGTTGCTTTCCTTTTAAGGCAAAGAAAGGGCAGGTGGGACTTCTCAGCCTCCACAGCTTCCTTACCCCTCTCTCCCCCGTTGCTTCCTTCCGCAGCGCTGCCCGGGGCCCTCAGCAGGGAGTGTGCGGACCAGCCCGAGCTCGCCAACTGTGAGCTGATCCTGAAGGCCCAGCTCTGCGGCAACGAGTATTACTCCAGCTTCTGCTGCGCCAGCTGCTCCCGCTTCCAGCCTCCCGCTCAGCCTGTCTGGCAGCAGGGATGAAGGCTGGCCTTGGGCCCGGTCCCGAAGCAGCCCTCGGCCTGTGGCCTCCGGCTGGCAAAGGGATCTGTCCTTTAGAGAAGGGGCCCTTTCAGGCTGCCGGCCTGGCCAGCACCCACCTGGCGCTCCGCCACCACAGGCAGCTGTCAAGAGGCATCTGCTTGGAGAAGACCACCCTTTCCGGCCTCCTCCCTCATTTCTGTTCTGCAGGATCCGTTCACTGGGTTCTAAAGCAAGTTACCAGGGTTCTCAATTCATTGAAAGCTGGGTGGGGAGGTGTGGAAGGGTTTCGAAGGTACCATATATCTCCTGGGCACACTAACTCCTGCCGGGTCAGGCCATTTCTCTTTGCTAGAACGCCCTCGCACGTAGGGTCCACTGCTCCGGTTGCGCTCACCCTTCTGGGCGGGCAGCTTCAACCCCCCGTGCGGACAGTTAACGGCGCGCTTGTGAGCGCTCCTGCCAAGGTGCAGCATGGCACATGCGGTCAGGATGGGGATGGGGTGAAGGAGCAGCAGCTGGTGCCGTCAGCATGGCCGAACTGGGGGAGCAGCGCCTTACTTTCCTTCGGAAAGATCCCCCTCCGGAGACCGACGCGCAGAGCCTGGCTGTGAGGGTCCCCTCACCCTGCATCGAGCTGACCCGCTCTGCGCAGTGACCAGCGGGGAGCCTCTCCTCCCCCAGCAGCAATCTGTGAGGCAGAACCAGACCATTAAAAACTGGCACTGGCAGGACAGGGGAGAGAAGAAGGGGAAGGCAACGTATGAACAATGAAGTGGTTTCAGAAATGGCTGGAAGTGGCAGAAGTCTCCTCCATCTCTCAGAACCTCCCGTTCCTCGCTGCTGCTAGATGAGAGGCCTGGATTCAGCGAGCTTCCAGGTCCCTTTCCACTTTAACCTTCTACACATCCTCCAGAGGACTGGCTGGACCTGACAGGTTACTCCGGGACATAGGAAAGGCAGGCATTACAGGGAAAGCTGACTTTTATTACACCACACTGGCTGGAAAAGAGAAACTACATCATGGGTGAGTGACAATTCTTGGTCTACCTCTCCGTCAACACAGGAAACGTGGATTAGGGGCAGAGGCATTTTTCTTCTTTCCACTTAAAAAAAAAAACCGGAGGATCCCCTTTCATTTACCATGGCTAGTTTTGCTATACAAACTGGAAACTAAGGGCTACTTTCTTGGACTCCCCAGTTCTCCCCAACTGGCAACATCATTCAGAAGTTAAGTTCGAGGGTAGCTAGCACTTCCTAGAACTAGTCACAGAGTACTAGGCTAAGGTTATAGCAAAGACTAACACTAACAAGCTGGACCAGTGGCTTTCTTCCATATTGGGAGCTTTTTTTTTTTTGGTTAAAAAAAACCAACAAAAAACAACTTGGGGGTCCCCCCCCACCACCACTCTGGTTTATTGGCCTGGAGTAGGGACCAGGGTGAGGATTCAAAAAGCTCCTCAGGTGATTGTAGTACGTATCCAAGGCTGCGACTCACCACTCCAGCAGGGCCTTTCAGGTGAACCTTGTTCCAGGGTATTTTCTGACGACTAGGCTGGGGGTGGAGAGGGTGGGGCTGAGATTCTGTACCTCTACTCAGCTCCTAGGTGCAGTCCAAGCTCCTGTTTCAGAACACAATCTGAGCAGCAAGAGTCTGACATCAGAGATATGCTTAGATCAACCAAAGCCTAAAGTATAAACACAAAAGTGAATTTTAAGAATATTCCAGTCCTGATGGACAAAACAGATGAAGGGGATTAATCCAGAGGTACAATCTTCCAGTTGGGAGTCACAGAGAGGAAAAGTCTAACGCAGGGCGGGGCGCCTGGGTGGCTCAGTGGGCTAAGCCGCTGCCTTCGGCTCAGGTCATGATCTCAGGGTCCTGGGATCGAGTCCCGCATCGGGCTCTCTGCTCAGCAGGGAGCCTGCTTCCCTCTCTCTCTCTGCCTGCCTCTCCGTCTACTTGTGATCTCTGTCAAATAAATAAATAAAATCTTTAAAAAAAAAAAAAGTCTAACGCAGGGAATATGGTCAATAATACTGTAACAGCACGTGTGGTGACAGATGGTGATCACACTCGGTGAGGCTGTGTGATGTACGAACTGTTGGATCAGTACGTTGTGCACCTGAAACTAACACTGTGTGCCAATTACACTTCAGTAAAAAAAGTACACTAGTCCCAATACAGGGTCTTCTAGCCACCAAACCAGCGTTCTGCAGCAGCCGCCGAAGAGCAGAACAGACCACAAAGAACTGAAAGGCAACAATTTGCTGATAAAGAAAAGGGGAAAGACCAGCCCTTCATGGGCAAAAGCTTCTACCACGAACATTTATTTTTGTTAAAGCAGATTATAAATTCTCATCAGTACAAATATATATAACTTACATTTGATTGTAAGGCCAACGTTCAAAAGTAAAAATGAGATGGGATCTCATGTTGTTACCAGAGGTCAAGAGGCCGCAGCTGGCAACGGATGCTCACCACAGGTTTGGGGGCGGGGGTGACGCACACACGGCTAATGAAACTACAGTCTCCATCCCCACGAAACTCCTGGGGACAAAACGTAAAGGACAAAACAAAACCCACCAAGACCCACATGACAAACCAACACAGTAACCTGCGCTCCCGTCAATGGACGTGATTATGTCACTGTCACCTTAGTGTTAAGTAGAGGACTAACATCACCTGCAGCGGTATGGAAAAGAAAATACATATTCTCTAGAGTGTACTTAGATTGAGTCCATTAAAATAATGACATTAGAATTTCACCACAGGTTCAAGACCAGGACAATGCTGCTCTTTCATTTCTTTAAGACTACAAGCTAGCGGCTGGACTGGTCGTACGCGTGCTGGCTGCCGTACTGTGCTACTTACGATGAATGACACCAAGGAAGCTAGGATCCCATCTGTACCTCCCCACCTTTCCTCTCTCCGCTTCGATAGGCATCACTGATAAATCAATCTTATGTACAATTTCTTACAGCTAACCCTTTTACCTTTGGCAAGATTACTTACAACTCATACAACTTTTTAATATTGAGAACTATTTAAAATATTCTAAATGCATAAAAATAAAGATTTTGGCTTTTTCTGATATATATTTATAATATTTATTCTTACTCAAAGTGGAAGCTCAACTTTGCCCCTAAAATATAGCTCTGTTGGGCAGCTGCTGATGTGCCCTCCTGGGAATTCTGGTGGCACAGCCTGCCTCTCGTCCCCAGCCCAAGCACAGGCCACCATGTTCTTGACCTGACAGGCCAGTACTGAGAGGCGGCACATGAATGGCCTGAAAAACAAAGGGAGATTGTTTTGCTTCCCGTTGTGTTTTATATTCCAGTAAATGTGCTTTGAATACAAATTCCTGTTCAGATACTTCTGCCTCTCTGTTGCCAGAGATTTGTAAGGGGCTGAGGGAGAAAGAAGGGGACAGAGGGCAACATTTCTTTGACTTCTTTAGCCTAACTGCAAGACAACTCTTCTCTAGGAATGTTTTTTCAATTTTTTTAAAAAATCACCTTTCCTAGCACACTCTGCCTGGACATGCTCCTTGGGACCTTTGGGATTAGTGAAAAGTATACTGATTGGGAACACAAAGTTCCTTTTGCTCCTTTGACCTCTGCCCCTGCCCTTGCCTAAGTACAGACAAATACGTAAGCCACAGAGACGGCTTAAAGTTCAATTTCAAACGTCTTCTGTAAATCGCTGGAGAAAGGATTGGTGGGAGAGGGGTTCGTGCGCTGCTTGGACTTGCTTTCTAATGCAGCCCACTGGGCTTCGAAAGGATCCACGGGGCAGGTGCCCGCAGGAACCTCTGTGTGCTTATCTCCGGAGGCCAACCTGCCTTCGTCTACACCATTGAAAGCTGCAGAACCGTTGAGATGCTGAGCAGGCGGCTTAAAGAAGGGACTGGCAGTAGCACTGCTTGTCTCATACTGAGGGAATGTCTGCTGCTTGACCAGGCTGGGAGACTGATGGGGGTGGGTAGCCTGAGGGTGGCCTGCAGTGCCAAACACGTTGGCTACCATCTGGGAGGGAGTGATGCCCACCACAGGCACATTAGGGGCTGGATAGGGCATCCCATTGGCCACAGGATAGGACTGGGCAGGGACAAAGGCTGGCTGCAGGGGTGGGCCCACACCCACTGGCACGGGCTGAGAGGCGAGGAATGCATGCCCTTGGAAAGGCGGCGCCGGCTGGGTCATGGCAGTGGGTGGAGGAGGCTGGAGAACTGGCTGCAGCGCAGTGGCGGAGGCCTGGGGCTGCTGAGCCCGGACGCTCTTGGACACCTCTTCTAACCAGCGGTCAGCTTCAGAGGGTGTGCGTCTGTGACCAGCCTGGAAGAGACCTGGAGATGCAGCACCAGAAGACTGACCCCACTCGGTCCCTGGGAACAAACACGATGGAGAGAGACAAAAGAATCAATCTTTAGGGGCTTCTTTCCTTACCTGGTAACCTTGGTTACCTGACTGATCCTAACATGTGGATACTTCGTGGTTCTGGCCAGTGGGAGAAAAGTCTCTTTAACCAGCTGAGGAGGTCTTGTTTTAGGACAAAGGGAACGTGTCAGACCATGCTGCTGTCTCAGCCATGCAGAGGAGCTGTCTAGATCGGGCTCGACTGCATTCAACGAAGGCAACTGGCTGGAATCAGAAACGCTTTCCTACTGCCGCACTTACTCCATGGCCCAGAGACCAGCTTGCATATGCTCTACAGGGCCCAAGGCGATTCATCTTCGCTCTAACAGAATAAAAATAACCAGTGACTTGGCCATATGCCTCACGGCCCCTGTCTCACTTCAAGACACATGTTATCCTTCAGGTGAACTTCATTACTATTTAAAATTTGTTCTAAAAAAAAAATTTGTTCTGATTTTAGAGTTAACAAATGTTCACTATAGGAAAACTGGGAAGTACAGAAAAGCAAAAATGAAGTACTTCTGGCAGCCCTTTCTGTAGGCCTGCCACCGTAAGAAGTGGGGTTCCCAATTGCGACAGGCATGTCCACACATACCCAAATTCAGTGGTTGCCTCAGGGTAGGGCACAGGAATCTGTATTTTATGAAAGCTCTAGGGGTTGGCTCTATTTCGAAGCCCTAAGAACTACTGAATCTAATCTCTGGAGTTTGTCTCCTTCAACATCTATTTCTGGGGGGATCATACTGTCCCTGAAAGGATTCCTCCCTGGCTCCCACTCAGGTAAATGGCTGATTCCTGAACAGGTGTCACTCTTCTGATCCCAGAATCCTCTCCACCATCCATGGCCACCTTACCCGAATGTGTGGCTGCAATTCCCTGGTTAGCAGCATCAGGGGCATGGGCCCAAGGGTTGGTTTCACGCACAGGCATTGCTACGGGTGCTAGAGCGGTATGAGCTGGCTTAGCAGCAAGCACATGGAAGGCTGAGTCAGTGCCATTAGCTACAATGGGAGCAGACAACATCGATGGAGTTAATTCATGCAGGGTGGACGGGCGACCCCCAGGAGCTGGGTCAGTCAGGCCAATGTGCGATACTGGCGGAACAGATAAGACAGAAAAGTTGATGTTGCGATAACCATGCCATCTTGCAATGGATATACAAACCTTTTGGCGAAGAGGGAATTAGAAGTTGTAATTAAGATAGCTACACTGGGGGCACCTGGGTGGCTCAGTGGGTTAAGCCTCTGCCTTCGGCTCAGGTCATGATCTCAGGGTCCTAGGATAGAGTCCCGCATGGGGGGGGGGGGTCTCTGCTCAGCAGGGGGCCTGCTTCCCCCTCCCCTCTGCCTGCCTCTCTGCTTACTTGTGATCTCTCTCTCTGTCAAATAAATAAAATCTTTAAAAAAAAATAAAATAGCTACACTGATTTAAAAAAAAAAAAAAGTCAATGACCGTTCTAGGAAAATATGTGTACAGGGAGAGAAGGAATGAAACCTAGAAAAACAATTTCCAATTAAGCTGAACAAAGCTGCTTTGTCTAACAAGCAGCAAAAATCTATTCCAGATATAGCTTGGCCTCTGGTATACTGATGTAGATAAAGCAATTCCTTCTCCTACCACTCTTCCAAAAGTTCAAATGATGCCAACAATAACAATGGGTTAAATATAATGATCCCTTATGATCATTAATATACTTCATTAACATTACTTGAGAATGCATCATCCTATCTAATTCTCTCAAAAACCCCCTAAGGCTCGTATACTCATGCTATAAATGAGAAATCAAATTTGGTATATGTTTTCATTTGGTTAATAAATTTGTAATTCCCGACAGAATCTCATCTCTCTTTTTTGAAGATTTCTCCCCTCAGTAATGTTCATAATATCTCAAAGTACTATTATTCTTTCCTCTCTCTTTATTAAAATCTCTTAACCTTTGCCCCTTTACTCCAGATATCTTTTCCAAGAG